CATCGGTGGACGCTGAACTGCGCGGGCAAATGATACTTCCCGGTTGCCCAGGCCGAGGAAGGGGGTTTGGTTGAGGTACCCCACCTTGAGCCTTTGACTCAAAAGTCTGACCCACAAGGCAGTGGGATGACGTAGGTTTTTGGTCGTGGACCCTGACCCTAGCCTCTGACTCAAAAGTCTGTCCCACGAGGTTGTGGGAAAATGTAGGGTCTTCTTTGGGGACCCTACCCGGAGGCGACGACTCAACAGTCTGACCTGCTCGGCTGCATGGGGTTGGCCTAACCCGAGGGCGCAGGGGATAAGGCATTACTGTCTCATTCCTGATGTGGCTGCGCACAGCAGGTGCCTTTTGAGCAGCACCGGGCTCTTTGGTTTTAAAAGTATTTCGACCGTATTGGATAATGCGCCGGCGTTCACGTTCAACCGTTGGGCGATCGGAGTGTGCGGTTTTTGGGGCCGACTTTTACTTACCCGTCCTTCCTCGGGGGAAGGCAGCATCGCTGCTTCTATAAATATGGACATGCTGGTCGCCTGAGGGAAACACCTTACTGCCTTCACACTCCTGTCGCAGAGACTTTACCCCCGGACCGCCTCGTACCACGATTACTCGTAGTGTGGGGTCTCGCTGCTCTTGGTCTGGCTGCTCCCTTTTGGCCTTCCTGACATGGTTGCACCTTGTGAAACGAAGTTCCAGCCAGTGTAGCCCGCGGGATCATTGCAGGCGCGGATGTCGTACATACATCAGCATGAACGGGGACTTGCCTGTGGTTGGCTGTACGGAAGCACGACGAGCTAGTAACACCACCGGCAGGTTCACCAGTCACCTCCTTGCCTGTGGTTGGCTGTACGGAAGCACGACGAGCTAGTAACACCACCGGCAGGTTCACTTCCCAGTCACCTCCAACCACCAGCCACTCCCTTGATTGTTCGGGTATTGCGTTCGGTTAGGCCATTAGTTTGCGCGTGATATGGTGCCGTGCTTAGCAGTCTAATACCCTACTTCTGCAAGCAACTCCTAAACTCTTCACTCTTAAAGCGAGGCCCGTGATCCGTGAGGTTCATTTTCCGCACCCCATGGTTGGCCACGATGTGGTGCATTACCAGTACACTGATTGTCGTCATGCCTGCCGCCTCGACCCACCTCGACAGGTGTTCTGTCATTACCACAGTATATTGATTTCCGCTGGTCGTCACCGGAATGGGGCCCATGACGTCAACGGACCATAACTCACCGATTACAGAAACCGGAATGGGTTCCATGGTATGTGTTACTCCTGCAATATCCCCTTTCATCAGTTGCCACCGCTTACAGAGCACCACATAATCCATCGCCTCACTTCTCACTCCGGGTCAGTAGACCCTCTGCCAAGTAAGTCGTACGTCTTGGTACACCCTGTCTGTGCCATCTCGTGGCATTCGACGATCAGCTTCCGTCTCACGGGTAGCACATCAGATTCGATGACGTCCCAGGAAGTGATGCTAGCTTCACCCGGATTCAGCCAATGAAAGTGCTTCTGGAACATTTCCAATTCCTTGTCTCCCTCTCCGTTCTCGATACTCCTTCCATCCAACAAGGCGGTTGCAACCTTTGGTAACACAGGATCCTGCTGCTGAAGTTGTATCAACCTTCCGGGATCCAGTTCGATGACGAGACTATTGGCACCAATCTTGATCCAAGGGTCTCATCTGCATCTGGTCTTGACAGCCAATCAGCCAGATGGTTCTCCTTCCCTGGTACGTTCTTTATTGTGGACTCGTACTCTTGCAACCGGAATGTCCAGCGCGCGAGCTTTTCTCGAGGATCTCTGGTGGTCCTGATCCATTCCAGAGGTTTGTGATCGGTCGCGAAATGAAGTCTTTGTCCTAGCAAGTATGGCCTCAGATGGTCGCTAAACATTCACAATAATTAAGCACTTCCGCTCAGCGTTAGTCACGTTAGAACACGACTAGCATGTTCGATGACTCCATTCCTCTGCTTTAGGACTGCGGCGATACGGCGGTCACCAGCGTCCGTCGCGACAATAAACATCTCCCGGACCCTTGGCAGTTTGAGGAGCAGTTGCTGGCCCAACGTCCGACCTTCGACATGTGCTTCCCTCGTCCATTCGAATTACCGATTTCGCCCGAGCAAGTCGTACAGTGGAGCAACAATCGTGTTGAACTCCTTGACAAGCCGGCTGTAGTATGTTGCTTGTCCAAAAAACTGCCGTAGGGGCCGATTTGATTTGGTAACAGCACAGTCCTCGATCTTTGCCAGTTTTTTTCCGGCAGTGGGCTAACCTCTCCCTCATTTACTTTATGCCCAAGCAGTGTAACCGAACTTCTAGCGAGCTGTATCTTGGTTTCATTTATCCGCTGGCCAGCATCCCGGATACGCTTCAATACGGCCTTCAAGTGAGCTACGTGCTGTGGTTCTGAATTGCTATAAACAACGATATCGTCTCCGTACACGGCAGCATTCTGTAGTCCAATCGTCAAACAAAGCATCAAGCGCCGGAATGTGAATGGTGCCTCCGACAAACCAGGGGGTGTGCGGCTAAATTCATATTGGGTGTTCCCAACCGTGAACGCCGGTTTCTCCCGGTCCTCTGCCTTGATAGATGGTTGCCAGTATCTGGAACGCAAGTCAAACACTAAAATATCGGAATGCTGGATGGGGTCAAAAATTTCCGTAACCGTAGGGACAGCGATCGTTTCATTCAGCCACGGGAAACCTACGCAAAACCGGTTTTTCCGCTCATCTTTACAAGCACAACGGGGGTGTTGTGTTGGCTTCTTCGATTATTCCATTTTTCGGCGTCTCGTGGACGTGTTTGTGGACCTCCGCCCGCAGATGGAGCGGCATCGGACGGGAGGCCCTAAGGTCGAAAGCACTCGGACGAGGGAGGAATTTCGTGTTCAGGTCGCGAGCAGAATCCAAACGGATCTTCATCGCCTGTGAACAGTGCGCACGTTACAAGACGGAACCTTCCGGACCTGCAGTTAGCTCACCGCAGTGCTTGGTTAACCTTCGAGCTTGACTGAGCTATGCTTTGTCGCCAGTTTTCCCCGCTTTGGGTCAACCACGGATTCTGCGGCAAAATCTGCTCTATGTCTGGGATGATCAGGAACTCGTTCTGGGCCGACCCGTTGCCTAGGCGCATTGAGTGCATTGTCAGTTTTTAAAAACTGAACATCTTCACGCGTCTTCTAGAACTTTCTTAGATGTTCACTGACAATCGCGCAGTTCTAATGAACGCTGCAAAGCAGTTTCACAGGTTCCGTAGTAAATTCCACCTTCCATTAGACGCGCGGCGGAATTATGAGAAAATCATACACTACTCGTACGTCCCATCAGTAGTACCCGCGGTTACACTGGTAGGCAAGTGTATGTATCGTGACGGGCCATAGTAAGAGGAAGATTCGTATCCACTCTTCCTTGTTTAGGTGTGGACTGATCCAGGCGGTTACAATAGGACAGGAAGAAGGCTATTGAAGTAAAAATTCGATAACCCCTTCAGTTACCTACATACATTATTCCATTCACGATACGTTGTTTTATGGAGAAAAAGGTATTTTCTGTCAAAAAAGCCGACATTTTATCTTAGGATTTTGACATTGCTGGTGAGTATGGTCCGATGCTGGCAGATGTCGAATGTTTACGGATCGTTTACGAAGTGTTATCCGAACTGGCTCTGGGAGAATTTGTGATCAAAGTCAATCACAGGCGATTGTTGGATGGCCTGTTTCGAGCATGTGACGTGCCCGCGGAGAAGTTCAACGCCACTTGTTCTGCTGTGGACAAGTTGGACAAAGTGAGTTCCTGGGTTTTGTACATACGGGTTTTTGGCAATTCGGTTTCCGCCGTTATAAAACTCCGTTATAAACTCCATTTTCTGGCTATGCGCACTCGTTTCATCAAGGTTTTTTTCATGAACAGCTACTGGTGATTGAGCAGCTGTTGGCGTTCCTGTGTTCTCATTGTGATGTACATCTATCCACCTATAGAATAACCACTTTTTAGAAGCTACTACCTCCAACTGGTTTTTCTAGGTGTATTTCAATAGGTTCTTCAAAAGTGAGACCGCTTTGCGGGATGGTTTCTACAGATCCGATGTAATTGTTGGATCCATAGCTCCTGCACACATTTGACCAACTAGTGAAAGTTCCAGAAATTCGAAGTAATCCCTAGAAGGCTTCATTTGTGCTTTTCCCTGAAGTATGCAGTATATCTTTTCATAAAGGAAACTACTCACAAGGCTGCTGAAAACTCTTCGACAGCCCACGACCGGTTTAGCCCTTCTTGGGGCTCATCAGGTAGGCGCAGTCCCGCGAGTTTCCGTCAACCTTATGTTCTACTTGCTTTTGTATCATCACTGGGTCTTACTTCAGCTAGATTTTACTGTTTGGGTTTTGATGGAAGCTACAGGAGAGAACTCGCCTCAGATTCGCTGTCGTTCAGCTTCTTCACCAGGTATAATTTTGACTCTACTTGATAGTTCAGAATGCCGTTGGCATGGTTCAACGCCAGTTTGTCTTGCTGGCGCTTCACACTAAAGACAAAATCCCTTAACCAGCGCCTAAGACTGGCTTAGCCTGCCAATAGGAAGATATCTTGATGGTTGGTTCTCCTTTTACCTTAAAACTTGACCAGCCCTGTAACCTAGTCCATTGGTCTTTTGTGTCAAAAGCGAAAGGTTGCCCAGCACTCAGTCTACCGACTGTATTTCGAACCTTTCTGAGACTATATTCACGCTACATTTTGTTTGTACTTTTAGTCCTCGTTTAGAAATGAAAACTATCCCAGACTACATTTATTTTGGTTTGGTAAAAAGACACATAGTAGTCATACGAATACCAATACGGGAAAAGGGTGTTAGCCTATTGGTTGAGGGGGCGATGAATGCGGCCGGCCGTGGATTCTTCAGGAAGTTTGTCTCCAGAGTTTTATGCTGTGACAACGTAGTGATCAGCCATCGTAACAACTGTTTATCTTGTCACAACACGAGTTTTCGCTTCGTCGGTTATGTTGGGTTCTCTTAGCTCGCCCAGACAAGAACGACATCAATGCGACCGTTCAGTACAACTCATTGGCAACATGGTAAATCTCCCTCGCAAGACTTGGAACAAGCTTCCACTCTCAGTAAATTAAATATTTCACACGATACACCCACCGCTAAATGCGCGTCTGTACAAAGCTGGGGCATTTAGTTCGCTCGTTGGATATGTTGTGTTGACCGCGAGTTGCGAAATCTACTGCTGTCCTTACAGAGCAGTCTTTATGGTGTGCTCTTTATGTGGTTCTTTCTCTCTACTCTCTTTATCGCTCTGGTGTTCCTTTACTGACTATGCTTGTTATGTCTTGCTAAGCTTTGTCATGTGCAGAGTGTTCAGTTTTTCTGGAGGATTACTGTACTTGTTCGACAGTCATTTATAGAAAGTTGGTTTTTTCTATTTCCCCATCGTTCCGGTCGTAGCACTCGGGATTGTAAGCACGTTTTTATGTACCTGACCTGACTGTTGCGGTAAGGTGAAACACGAGACACTTTCTGAAGTTTACTCCAGAGGACACAACAATCGTTGTTTTTCTCTGTCGCTCCCATCCTCCTTAAAATTCCGCACTGCGCAGGAAACACCGGTTCCTGTTGACGCATCAGCTCCATCTGGTAAACCTGAGTCCCTGCTATCTGTCGATTTGCCAAATGGCCCAACGATATTGCAGTCTTTGCTCATCTCGAGCAGTTATTTGGTTTTGTTTACCTAAAATTACTGTAAACATCGCGTTTGCTTATTGTTCAGCTACCCATAACAATCTCAGTTTTCTGGCCTCAGGACGGGAACAAAAAAGCGTGCGTCCGGTTTTTGGGAGAAATAGTGGGAGCTTGTTTGCCTAATAGGCTTGGAAACGCGGGACAGCTTGCTGATAATTTCTATCACCCTTATTATCCACAATGTGGTCCTTCAGTTTGTCTTTTCCGATTCATATAGACTCCCTGGTCCGAAGTAGAGCGAGAGCTTTGTGAGGAAAAAGGACTGCCGAAGGCAACGGTGGACAAAATCGGAGGGTACGTTCAACTTACTGGTGGGACGGACCTTATCGACCGGTTGGAGGCGGACACTTGCCTAATGGAGCAAGAGTCGGCTCGAAATGCGTTGGTGGATATCCGGCTTTTGTTGAGCTATTGCGAGTCCCTCGGTATAGCCGATCGCGTTCGTTTTGACCTCAGTTTGGCTCGTGGACTAGACTATTATACCGGTGTCATTTACGAAGCTGTTCTCACAGGTAAAGATTTGTTCGTGTTAAGAATCTTCATTTATCTTATTCGGCTCTCCTTTGGGGATTGTTGAAGATTTCCGAACGCCCTTGCTATATCTTAGTCTTTCAAGAGCCTTTTTGTGGTATTTTGAAGCTAGTGAAACATGAGAACTAAAATTGTTCACTTTTATATGCATGCGTAATTTCTCACTTCTGTGGGGCTTTGACCACGTGGCTAAACACTGACAAGCTTCTATTTCACTTAACTTCGGTCAGCTTTTACGGAAAGATGAGTCGGTTTCCCAACTAACTGATGTTGTAGCCACTTGTCCATGTAGGTCAGTGGATTAGTTTTTGAATCGTTTCCCTACCACATAGCGTGGAGAGGGTCGTTGTGTGTAGAGTTATCACGAAGTTTATTAAGAATTTCGTTAAGGCTAATAGTCGCCAGTTTTGGTTTGGCGCGCAACGTGGTATTCTTGCTTCAGTTTTCCAGTAACTTGCCCCTGGAAGTGTTTACGAATGGTACTCTTAACCAAGGCCTCAAACGAAGTACCGAAGTGTCGTTTTCAACATTCTACTGGAGTAGCAAATGCTGACATCCAGTGCACCTTAAGTTTTCAATGCCCCTCCCGACATATTCTGTCTACGCTTCTTTCAGGTTTTCTCGTTTCAACAATGAAACAAGTTCTTTCTGGGGGTGTTGACGAATTTAATTGTTCCGGACATCGTTTCTTAGCTCCAGTCCCCAGAAAAGTGAATAGTTCGGCGGGCGTGATGATTTTATCTTTTTTCAACTGCTTGTTTCGAAGAGACCGGACTTGTGGAGTTCCCCAGGGTTTTTTTAGAAATTGAAGTGGTCAATGAAAATAGCCTTTCCACCCACTGATTTACCTCCTCACTTTGATCACAACATACACCTTTGAGATACTTTTTATGAACACACTGCTTGTAGGTTTCACGTATGATCCAAAAGCACCGTCGGCAAAGGAGACCATACCAACAGCAACGATGACTACAACCTCTGATCCCTCCTCGAAAAAACAAAAGAAAAAGAAGAAATCCAAACACGAACCAGACGCCATGAATGATACTGACACACCAATCCCAGGTGAACCCTTGGCTGTTGGCAGTGTTGCCGGGGGCGGTCGCTACGACGGACTAGTTGGCATGTTCGACCTATCGGGAACTCCAGTCCCCTGTGTAGGTGTTAGTTTCGGCGTGGAACGACTATTAGCCATAAGTGAGGCTCTCGCAACCGCTGGGTCACAAGCTACCAAAAACAAATGTGTTCGTCCCACAGAGACCGAGGTAATGGTCGCAGGTGCTCACAAAGGTTTAATCTTGCAGCGGTTGGAATGTTGCCGTCGTTTATGGGATGCAAAAATAAAGGTAAATTTTCTTCAATTACCTTCTCTCCAGTGCTAGCCTCTGTTTCTGTGACACCATGTCAACCGTGAGAAATAAGCCTTTTGTGAACCACCTTGCTTTACTTTGACCATTTACTTTGATCCTCGCACACTGAATCGAATCCGTGCTGACTCAGTGGTTAGGGCGCAAACTTATTGATCGGAAGGGTCTTGGTCCCAATTCAACCTAGACTATTCCTGGGAAGTATGGCAACCCTCGATCTTTGGGTACTGAATCGAATCCGTGCTGACTCAGTGGTTAGGGCGCAAACTTATTGATCGGAAGGGTCTTGGTCCCAATTCAACCTAGACTATTCCTGGGAAGTATGGCAACCCTCGTGCTATCTTCGGGTGGCATGTCAGCTCTGCATCGAAAAGGTGTTAGGCTGAGCGGTTTTTTAATGCTATGAATTCGTTAGGTTCTATTCTCCAACGTGGTATATCCCACATACACTGAACTCAATCGTTTCGGCCTGTGAAGGGTGTTTTTGGCGTGTTGTACTATCGGGACAGATGTGAATCCTGGCGGACACAGGCTTGGTTCCATTTTGTCCGAGCTAACTTCTACATTTTTCAAACCCTGTAAATGTTTCTGATCAACAACTACCAGTCAGCCAATGGTGGGCTGGAAAGACGTTAGCAACAACCCCAGTGGGAAGGCAGGCGATAGGAGAGCAGTAGGTATTATTGATAGGTATCGTTACCATGAAACCTTAGTGTGATGGCTGGTGTAAGACAGTCAGCCAGTTTATCGGGGAGGTTTCCTAACTGTACCAAATTGGAAGCCTTTCCAGGATTCACATTACAACATCTTCGTTTCTGGATATTCGCAACCCCAGTAAATCTGGATCCGTCATTAGGAATGGCTAGGAGGATATAGTATTTGACTGCCTCTATCGATACTCTGAAGGTTGACTATGATGTTAGTTGTAAAACTAGCGGTAGGATGTAGGTACGTTAGCAGGATTGTAGTGCCCCCTCCAATGAAAGCCGCTTGGGCGGCCTGACCAAAGTTGTTCCTTCTAAGGGTCCCTGTTCCACATTTCGACCAAATTTCTTGTTTTCATGTAAGAATTGAATGACCCTTAAGTCATATATTCGTTTTTCATCTCGCTTGAAATATAACTTCTGTGCCGGAGATAGATCGGTGGTTAGGGTGCAGATCTGCTGACTTGCATTTCGACTGTTCCTGTCTGGAATCGGGAAACCTAGCAGTGTCTCAGGCCTCATGCCTCCGTGTTGCATGACATCTAAGCTTTGAAGGAGTATCATAGTTGTGATTTTCACAACATGGGCACCACAATGGTATATGCACTTTCTTGTGAACTCTTAATAATCGATGCTAGTATCATATCCTTGAAATATGTTTGGTTTTGCTTGCTATTCACTAGAAGGATGTAAGGGCCAAGGTCTACTAGTGCGGTTTCAATTCGGCATGGGCATCTTCTTATGTTTCCCACAACTAGTTTGTCGTAGCCACTCGTCAGCGACAAGCCCCCCTGAAACGTATCGTCGGTTTGTTATTTGTCCAGGGGTGGTGTCCAGGGTGTCCTGTACGCTGTATGATTCTGTATTCACCTACGATAGTTTATTATTAAGTAGAGGCTGGTAGATTGAAAACATATTCTGTTAGCTTTCACTTCTGTAGATGCTCCGGTTGATGTGTGCTCAACTATTCCCCCACTTCTTTGTATTGACGGGAATCAATTGATTATATTGTTCATATCCGCATATTGTGTTCCTCAGTGGTCACGCAAGACGATTTTCATTGATTGCATTCACTTAGCAACATGGAAGGTGATTTCCAATTGATGTCCAACACTTCCGAAATAGCCTCGTGCGTGGAATCTGTGTTGTTGGGTTTTCATAATTGCACCGACGTTCACTTTCAAGCTTCACAACAATTTGTGTTGCTTTTGTATGCACATAAATCATGCGGGGACTTCACTTGTCGTTGAATTAAAGCAAAGATTTAGTGGCTCCCAATGATCAACCTGAAGCTGAGTACTTTAATTCGGCAGCTCAACTGTAGTCGGATGGTATGGCGTCAATCGACTTCCATAAAGGTCAAAAGAATACGCAACTGTCTGTCTCCCGAGTAGTTCCACAGTGGCTCACTGGCGGTTAATTGAGGAGCTTTCGTGGTGCCTGCAGCTTCAGTATTTCATTGTTCAACTGTATCAAACCCTTGGCTTTAGAAATTCATTTATCGAAGCAGGATCAAGTGCCATATGTTGTGATGATTCTGTTGTTCAAGCACTAGGGTCTGAGTGTCGAGGGTTGCAGTCCGTTTTTACTTGATGCTGCAGGTCATCCAAGCATAGATTAGTAGGTGTTGTCTGCCTTTGGTTTTACTCCAATTCGTCCGTGCTTACGTAAACTGCTATTGGTGTACTGCTTGCGTGTATACTGTTCAGTGCAATCCATCGCTTTCAGGACAATTGTTTTGCTATAGAGCTTGTAAAACCATAATCATTGTCTTAGGCTAAGGCGTGTGTGGGCAACGTGCGGCAGCAACTCAGGCCTCGTAGGATTGGTGATAAACCAAGAAGACGGCAGCCACCCAGTTTACCGCCGAACAAACGGACAAGCGTGCAGATATCTAAAATCAATGGTTGTTGCTATCTTAACTGCTTCGTTCATCACCAGTGGCCCTTTTTGACCAGTTAGCTCAGAAGGCATAACTCTCACATCTGAGTTTCATCTTTCGGTTTGATTTTCGTAGTCGAAAAAAATCAATCGGATCGAATATTTCGCAACTAACCTTCATGAATCAATGGTGCAACGGTTTACTGTTCCGCTGCTTTTTTCTTCCCTGTTAATTAGACTACGATGTCACACAAAAGCAACCCAAAACTGCTGGATCAGCTTCAGTACTGTGAGTCCACTGGAATTCCGTTTGCTGTTATCCTCGGTGATGGTGAATTGCAACGCGGTGTTGTCAAATTACGAGTAGTCTCAACGCGGGCGGAGCGTGAAGTGCCGTACGACGATTTGGTATCAGAGTTACGGAAAGAATTGGCACTTTGGCGTGGTCAATGAAGACGGCTACCTTGAAACAACTGATACCAGACTCCTTCCATGTCGTGGATTTCCTACACACAGATATTATCCCCTTGATGCTTCGTGTGAATGTCCTTTCAGTGCTTTGGAATACCTGCTGTTTTGAGGTTTTGATTTGCGAACGGAGGGATGACGCATGAACTCTCTGCATCCAAATATAGAGACCATCACAAGCAGCCAGTTACATGCGCTATTTACCCGTTTTCGGACGTCGTTTTCAGAAGCCCTGGAGGATTCGTAAGCAAAGTGAACGATTGTGATGCATGACTAGGGTCGTCTGGTTCTTTGAGCCTAAAGCAGCGAGGAATGTACTACATCCATAGTCAGCAGCACACTGGTCTTTGGGACTTCATCACTATGGCAGTGTTTTCACACGCGACTCATCAACATTCACAAGCTGGAGGTTATAATACGCAGATACCTGTTTTGAGTTTTAGGCCACGTTTCAGATCTAGACTCTCACTCCTCAGTGGCTACCGATTTTGTCTAAAGGCGGTAAGTGCTGACTAAATCTGTCTGGGTACAAATGCATACGGCTTATGTTCAAACCAATCTGCCTTCAGGTTGCCTGACTTACATCACGCTTTCTTTGGCAAGCTTCTTTGGCAGATCGTACGGTCTGGCGCTGGAGGGAAGTAAACGTATGGGATGTAATAATCGTCGTTCAGCTGTAGCGCCCTTTCGGTGCCTAGCTGCCCCCACCACCCGAAGGAAGCATGAGGGCTGGGATACTGTCAGGTTGCCCAAGTCTAGACAGGGGAAGTCGGGTGGCGGAGGTCGGGTTCGAACCACGGACCTTCCGGTCAGTAAATTCGCGCTCTAACCACTTGAGCCATCTCGCCCCAGTATGGGATGTGGTAGTCTAACATGCTTAGATTACTGTCAGTATATATATATATGTATATATATATATATATA